TCCCTCTGTTGTCTGGACTGGAGGGGCTTCTGGCCAGAAGCTCGGCACGCCATGCTGTGGGGTAGCTTTACCCATGAGCATCTAGACGCGTTTTCCCGTGGTGGTTTGGGGACTACAGGTGGTGTCTACACCGTGGAGTGTTCTCTGTGGATCCGAACCCTGTCATTGGAAACACAGCCTTTTGCTGAAGGCGGGAGTGGCGCACAGCACACGTGCTCACCAGTGCCTCATACGTTTCTGTTCTGTCATATTTTCCCCCAGCAAACTTTGAGAATGTTAGATCCCACGAAAGATACATCCCTGGGGCTTATGGGGAAGATGGTGAATTCCACGTGTGTAGGTGAAATGAGACGTGTGGGCTCCTTCCGAGCTGGAAGCCTGGCAGCAGCCCACTGTGCCTGAGTGGCACACGCCCGTCAGGCCCGGACTCCTGCCCACAGGCCCAGTGTCTCAGGCCACGGAAGCCGAGGGGATCGTGGGCACCGCCAGGACTTCTCCATGATGATTCTGTCCGCTTTCATCTGAGGTTGGATATATTCGCCTGGGTGGAAAAACTTTTCCCCGTAACAGCGTATGTCCCCCCCAAAATTTTATGAAAATCGATTTTCATAAAATTGACTAAGTCTGCTTGAAAAAAAAAACAACACTGAAAATATTGAAAATGAGTGACTCTGACCGAGGCAGGAGCCAGCTGCCGGAAGACCCGGTGGGGGAAGGGGAACCACTTGAGATGAGCTCCCCGCTTTGGAGCGTTTTCTGCCTGGATATAAATCAGACATGCCCAAATGAGGAAGCTGGGAGGCGGGCGAGCCTGCCTAGGGGCCCGCTTCCCGCGCAGGCCGGCAGAGAAGGGTGAGGGGTGAGCCCTGGCCTGGCAGGGCCTACCTCCCCACAGGGAGCTCGCTACCGCCCGTAGCTTTGGGGACAGAATCCTCATGGTGCTCCTAGCTCTTGCCGAGAGGTCCGCTCACGTGATCATGATCTAGAACTTTCTTTCTTGGCTGATCCATCTAGCACTGCAGAGGGTCCGGTGAAGATCTTATCAACCGTGCTTTGTTGTTGCCACGGTGACTGCTGCCTGATGCCGGACACCTTTGTTGTCTGACCCTTCCTAGGCGTATCCAGTCTCAGCTGGGTGCCTGGGTGTTGGGGTGAGTATGCACAGTGCCAGAGTCACTAGGAGACCAGTTTGCATGTCAGGAAACGGCTCTGTGAGTCCACGTTGCAGAGCCTCTCAGCCAGGTTCTAGAATGTACCTGGAAGCCAGATCTCATTCCCACTGGTGACACGCAGTCCACTCTCAGGTGATGTGGAAAGAGCTGGGCTCGGGATTCTGGCGTGCTGGGGAAGTTTTCCATGGTGTCCGGAAGCCACGTGGCCTGACCTCCCTTGGAGAAGACGAGCGGGGTGTCCACGCCTTCCTCTTCTTTGGAGCAAAGGCTTTTTGGCCCCGGCCCGGGTGGCTGTGGGCCAGTCCCGGGTGGCTGTGGAGGGCGAGGCTGACGGCACAGGAGCAAGCGGGCCACATGGTGTTGACAGTGTTTGAGCTAGAACACCTGCTCTCGCCATGCAGCCCCGCAGGTAGCTGGCAGATGCTACCACAGAGAACCCGGTTTCTTTGAACCTAGGGGAGCAAACCGATAAACCTTCCTCAGTTCTCTTTGTGAAGAATCCACCTGTCTGATTTCACAGACACCGGGCTGTTTCTGTGGAGAGCTGTGTAATTTTACTTCTGTGCATCTGCATAAAACGCGGTTCTTTCCAAGCGCACTCCCAGCCCTGCTGCCGGCGGCAGTCGGATGGCCCTGTGGCAGCAGCACGGCAGAGGTGTCGCTCGGTGGCTGTCTCTGGCATAGGCACTTTTCCTTTGTAGTGTTCGTGTGTCCACATGAAATGATGCGATGTGCGCGTGAGGATGATCTCCCGCTGCCAATGTGAGATCATATGTCTCGTCATGACACCGTGTTGCCTTCCTGAGTTAAAAAAAAAAAAAGAAAACCTATTGCGACTTTATACTTCATTATTTTCTTTTTTCAAAAAGAACATTTTTATTATTTTGTTTTTTTCAAAAAACAAAAATGGACAAAAACCTTCAAACTTTGGAAAATCAGTGGAGGTTGTCCATGCAGATCCCGGCCACCGGCTCCCAGGGGAACCTGAAGCCGTTCCTGGGGGCGGCTTAACGAGCAGTGAGCTTCCTGACCCTGGCTGTGCCTGAAGACTCCCAAAATGGTACAAGAGGGAAGAAGAAAATGACGCTAAGCTTACATTTCTCTGGATATATATATTTTTTTAAGTTATGAGGTGTGAACAGTGATTTATAATTTAGGAAGTGGCTGGCGCTGAGCTGCGGAAGCTGGGTCTGTGTGTATCCCCCCAGGGGCTGCCAGGAGGGGTCTGAGTGCCAGGGGTTAAGGGGGCCGCCCTTGTCCTTGACCTGGGAGGCGGAGCAGGCCACACAATGTCCCCACCCTGCCAGGGCTGGCGGGGCCAGTGGGGTCCTCCCACACTTTCTCTGTTTTTGAAGCAACTTTGCGTTGCCACGTCTGCCATCCTCTCCCAATGCGTCCTGAGAGGACAGGTGGCTCTGCCGTGGGCTCTGCCGTGGGCTCTGCCTGTCCCTCGTGGCTTCCTTCAGCAGCCAGCGCTGCTCCAGCAACGTCCTTGGCTGAGGGCCTTGTCCCTGTCGGAAAGGGGCTTCCTCAGTTCCCCATGCCCCTGCCTCCTCTGTGTCTCAGTTCCTGCCCTTTGGGAGTTGGGGAGAGGGGGCAGGTGAGGGGCTAGAACTCTGCTTCTGAGCTCCAGGTCCCTTGGAAAGAAGCTGGGGCCGAACAAGCCGGCAGCCGTTTCCTGTGGCTTGGCCGGGCAGGAGGGGCGGGGGCGGGGGGGGGGGGCGGTCCAGCCAAGTGAGACTCCAGCTTGCCTATTTAAAGCTTGTTCACTGCTAGTTGCACCAGCTAGGCTCTGTGGTGTAATCAGGAAAATGTGTAGATTGGCAGCTAATTTTTGAGAAAGGAAAAGAATCAGAAGTTTTTCTGTCCTCCCAACCTGTTTTGTGAAGTTGCTAGGAAAACCTGGAAGGTTCTTAGACTTTGCGTATAGTCTTGGGCCTCCCTTGGAAAGGTTCCTGTTTGAAGATGCAGTGCCTTTCATGGTGATAGGGTAGATTTGCAAACATGAAATCCACCAGCTGGAGATGGATTGGGTGAAATACTGTGTTTTAGTAAGGGGGCCTGAGCCAGCACATTCTGCTCCCCAACACAGAGCAGCCATGGTGGCATAGGGGAACAGCATCTGCTTACTGTCTGGCATGTCCGAGTGGCGTCCAGCCCTGGTCCATCCCTCATCTGGGATCTTATCCACCACAGTGGCCCATGCGGTCCTCACGGGTAGGATGCCTGGCTGTGCTCTGCATTGAAGCTCTGCAGTTGGCCGTGACCTTGGCCAGGCCACTCATGTCTGTGCCTCTGCGTGGTCGTGTGTGACCTGGGAGCGATGCTGTGGATCCCTTAGGTCTAACCCCAAGGGTTACAGATGGGAGACGCCGGCTCGGTGTTGGAGCCCAGGCCCTCAGAGACAGCAGCGGGTGAAGCACCAGTAGGCAGTCCTGTGAATCTAAGGCTTGCTTAGCGGGCTGCCTGCAGGAAGCTGGCGGGTGCCTGTGTCTGCTTGACTGCCCTTCCAGGAGCTGAACAAGGCCCTGGGGCTGCGATCAAACACGTGACTGTGCAGCACCCCCGCAGGGTCGGGGCAGGGGCCGGTGGCATTTGCCGGAGGACAGGTGGCATTGCAGCTGCTGCTGCCTAAGAGAAGTGACTGTTTTCAAAGCTGGTGGACATACTGTGTGCTCCCAAACAGGAGGCAAGCTTGCAGGGTACCCTGGACATTCCTACAGCACATGTGGCCTTGTGCTTGGCACCCTGTGCCAGAGTGCTAATGCAGCTGGTGCTTCACCCTGACCTGGGGATGGTCCAGACCCTGCTCACTGCAGGGATGAGAGCGGGGGTGCTGCAGGAAGTGTGGGGCAAGGCTCCCTGTCACGGAGCTGGTGGGGAAGGGAGACGCAGCTCGGGCTCAGGTGGAAAGGAGGAAGAAGGCTGGAAGTGTACCTGTCCAGGGCTATTGGATGCTTCTTCCCACACACACCCATCTGCAGGGTGCAGTGGGCCACAGCAGGACTCCTCCCTTCTCAGCCCTTACACCCCCACAGACGTGGAGCACGCCTCTGTGGTGCAGGGTGTCAGTGTGTCGGCCCAGCCTCAGGCCTGCTCCCGCCTGTGCCTGCCTGAGTTGCTCATGTGCTAAGGACTTACAGCTGAAGCACAGAAGTGAGTCCTGTTTGTTCCTGTTTGGGGGCGGGGCTGGGGTGTCAGGAAGAGAGAGATAGGAGCAGGAGAGATAGCCTTGGGCTGTCTGACCTCCCTGCCATCGGGTGAGCAGTGTGGGGAAGCCGGGAGTGTAGCCCAAACCCTTCCCTGTCCCGCTGGCCTGTGTCTGCGTGCTTCTGTTCCAGTGGAAGGTTCAGACCGACTGCTCCCAGGGCAGAGCCATGCATGCATGGCCGAGAGGACTGCCCACAGGGCCGAGAGGACTGTCCACAGGCCCGGGAGCACTGCCCATGGGGCCGAGAGGACTGCCCATGGGCCCGGGAACACTGTCCACAGGGCCGGGAGGACTGTCCACAGGGCCGAGAGGACTGTCCACAGGCCCGGGAGCACTGCCCATGGGCCTGGGAACACTGTCCACAGGCCCGGGAGGACTGCCCACAGGGCCGGGAGGACTGCCCATGGGCCCGGGAGGACTGTCCACAGGGCCGGGAGGACTGCCCACAGGGCCGAGAGGACTGTCCACAGGCCCGGGAGCACTGCCCATGGGGCCGAGAGGACTGTCCACAGGGCCCGGGAGGACTGCCCATGGGCCCGGGAACACTGTCCACAGGGCCGGGAGGAGTGCCCATGGACCCGGGAGGACTGCCCATGGGCCCGGGAGGACTGTCCACAGGGCCGGGAGGACTGCCCACAGGGCCGGGAGGACTGCCCATGGGCCCGGGAGGACTGCCCATGGGCCTGGGAGGACTGTCCACAGGGCCGGGAGGACTGCCCACAGGGCCGGGAGGACTGCCCATGGGCCCGGGAGGACTGCCCACAGGGCCGGGAGGACTGCCCATGGGCCCGGGAGGACTGCCCACAGGGCCGGGAGGACTGCCCATGGGCCCGGGAGGACTGTCCCACGGGCCGGGAGGACTACCCACAGGGCCGGGAGGACTGCCCATGGGCCCGGGAACCATGTACACCTAGACGAGGATAGGCTGCTCCAGACTATGAATCATATACACATGGCTGGGAGGGTTGCCCAGGTGAGTGCCAGTGTGCCGGATGCTCATGCCCTGGACCCTCAGCTTGGCAGACCTGGCCTGAGAGGGAGGGAGGAGGGCCAGGTGTGCTCCTGGAGACCCTTCCGTCAGGCTGTCCCTGCACAGACCTGCCCTAGCACCTGCAGTTCTGCTTTTGGTGGCATAGAAGCTCCTTTGCAGCCTGAGATGGCACTTCCTGTTTTTCCCGCCTGGCGCCCGAGTTGCTGCTCCTGTCCTGTGGGAGACTCGGGCTCCTTGTCTTGTGGGATCCCAGGGACCTCAGGCCGCTCCAGCTGTCTGGGGAGAGCGGAGCCTTAGCAGCGTGCCCTTTCCTTCCAACTCCCCTGTCTGCTGAAGGTTCGGGTCCTGACTCAAAGCAGGGTGGCTTGTAACACGAAGTCACTGTGTTTTCACCCCCCAAGGGTGCAAATTTGGAGCCTGGGAAGGTCTCGAGGAGCTGGTCAAGTCTCTGACATCAAACAAAGCCAGGGCGGCAGAATTTACAGTCTCTGGCTAGACCACAAAAGGGAGGGTTCTTAGCACGGAGTAAAGAGCTTCAACATGGCTGCAGGGCCAGCCTGACACCAAGCCCGGGAGCCTTCTGAGCAGCCCCTCCTCCAGAAGGCGTGGCTGAGTGTGCACTGGGGGACAGGCGGAAGTGCGTGGCCAGGGGTGTGCCCTCTGCTGTCCTGGGCCCACTCGCTGCAGAACCAGGCTGGCCCCGGTGAGGACCACTCTGATCGTTTGTGCCATTTCCCAGGTACCTCCAGGAGACATGGGAGCATCTGTCTGCCAGACAGAGGGTCAGCATGGCTGGGCCACGAGGGTCCTGGCTTGACACAGTCTCACATCTCAGCACCAACACTTCCGGGCTGGCTCAGGGTGAGGTGTCCTGCCTTCCCTCGAGGGCAGCCCCCAGGGTTCCCCAGGGCTCGGTTTTGAGTCTGTTTTGTTTTAAAGAGCTGTCCCTAGGGTGGGACAGAAGGGTAAATGACCCAGCTGGGTAGTGTGCAGCTGCTGGAGCCTGACAACTATGACAGCTTGTGCGTGGCATCTTGCGGGAACTATTTTAACAGTACATTTGGAATGCAGGAGTATTTAGTGCTAAATCAAAAGCCTGAGAGGACACACAGACAAGATCTTCAGTGTGGGAATTCGGGGCCCTTTTTCTCTTTAAAAAAGCTGTAAAAATCCATCCCTTGGGCTGCAGGGAGAGTCAGGTCAAATGAGCATCGTGTGTGGGACTGGCTGTGGCAGCGAGATTGAAGTGGATGCAGGTGCTTGCAGCCGCGCCGTGGCCCAGCTGGGCCATAGCCCTGTGCAGAGCTGTCCTCCACTCTCCTGTGCACAGCGCTAGCAAAGGTTTGGTGCCTTCACGCTGGTTCCTTTGTCACGAGCTTGACAGTCTTGGAAGAGCCGTAACTTCTGCCGACTCGTCACACAGCTGTCAGCCCGTGCTTGAGCCGTCTGGGGCTGGAGTGTGTGCCCCGTGTGCTGGGGGCACTCGCCCCAGGACGCAGCACACATTAAAGCTGGGATCTTGTTTTCATCCTTGGTTCCCCAGGCTTGAAAACTCATGCTCCACCTTCCCACGCACAAGAAGTAACGCCACTCGCGTCCTCACAACCCCAAAGCTAAGTGTGCATTTCATGTGAACCATCAAAGACAGCGACACAGAGCTCGAAACAGGTGCAGTGTCCCTGCCTGGACGGTCTGCAGCTGTTGGGTGTTAGGGTCCCCAATCCGCTGCCGTTTGAAGCTCTCTGCTGACAGCAGGCTCAGCCCCAGAGGTGAGCCAGGGACAAAGAGCCCAGGTTAGCTTGCAGGTGGCCAAGGAGGCTGTCTGTGAGGAGCAGCAGGCGGCAACTTCTGGCTGTGAAGCAGGAGATGCTTCAGGCTATAGCCAGAGCCTGATTCCCCAACACAATAGTGCCACCAGGGTCCCTGCCAACGCAGCCAACAGCCTGGTCCCCACAGGTCGGCTGTGAGCAGGGCAGAAGGCTCTGGGCCCTTTCTGGGGCTCACTGAGGCTGGGGCAAGGCCTGAGTAAGAGAGAGGGACAAAGGCAGAGGTGCGGCTGGCCCATCTGCCAGGCTGCAGGTGCATTCATTATTGATGGAGGTGGCACGGCAGCGGCTCAGTTATGCAGGCCTGCCTGGGTAAATGAGACATTCTTCAGCAAATTGCTTCGTTTTTTGATTGCTGATTGTACGCGTGTCACCAAGCTGACTCAAGGTTCATCGATGCATGCTCAGTAAATTAGAACGAACACAACTATGGATCAGGCAAGAGAATGAATTCTGTGCCTACAATGACCCAGGGCCATTTAATTTTCTGCTTAATTTTGTTGCAGTCAGTTTGCATTTTGGGTTATTATGCAGTAGGAAATTAACAATAAATAACAAATTTGGTCCTCCTGTGCTTGTAATGATATTTTTATAAATCTTTGTAATGCTGTTTTTCAAAGGATCCAGGTCTGTGCCTGGCTGATACTCCGGCCAGTGTGCGGCGAGGAAATGTATTATTCTCACCTGATAACCTTGTTGTTAAATGGTGCGGGACTCTTCATCGCGCGCGTTCTTCCCTCATATCTTACTCGAATTTTTGCTCCCTCTCTTTCTAGATAACCTGAGGACAATGGATACCGAGGAGGGACAGGACCTGTCCCAAGTTTCAGGTGAGAGCTTGTGAGGCCCCTGCATGGGGAGGGGCCAGGAGTGCCGGCTTTGCCTGGCTACCTGGGCAGCGGGTAGGGCATGCCACACAGGAGGCCAGTGGAGCTTGTGTTGGTGAGAGCTGGGTGAGTGCCCAGAGGCAGCAGCTGCCTCTGCCGTTAACCCTAAAAGCACATTGGAAAGTGGTGAATACCAAGATAATTTTGGGCGTGAAAATGGACTGATTGGTCTTCCCTGAAGCCCAGCCACGTGCCTGTGTTGGTATTCACCAGATGGGGGAGGGAGACAGTAGCTTGATGGCCCAGCTCAAGTCTGAGCATTGGCTCAGGGCAGAAACTGGTCAGTGCCCCCTGCTGCTGTACTGGACAGCCTTGTCGGGCTGGACGTGGCTGCCATCGCAGGAGGGCTTGACAGGGTGGATCTGGAACCAGGTGGGGCAGCACTGGGCCTCAGCCTCTAGCCAGCGCAGCTGAGCCCACGTGTTTCCTCTCAGGCCCTCAGCTGTTGCTGAGGCTCTGCAGCAGCTCACGTGGGAACCTGCCATGTGTGTGACCGGTGGGGAAGGCCGGCCTGGATGTGAGGATGCCCGTCCCTCATGTCTCCACCTGGCTGGTGGGGAAGGCCGGCCTGGGTACAAGGATGCCTGCCCCTTGCATCTCTCTTCTTCATTGAATTCCACATTTCATTCCAGATTGGGGACCCAGGATGTGGCCGCTGCAGGGCCCTGGGATCCTGCAGGGAAAGGGACCTGCCAGGTTCAGGGACGTCCTCCTCGGTGCACTCCTCCCTTCCCTTGAAAGGCTCAGAGCCCAGGCTCTGGCTGGGGAAAGGGGGTTGTAGCTGGCCACAGGTGAACCCTGTGGGCCGTGCTGGGGCTTGCTGCCTTCTGCCCTGCTGTGCCTCCTGCAGCCCAGTGCTGAGGGCATCTGTCTTGGACAAAGACCCTCATGCATCACCATGCCCTGGCTGCCAGGGCTCATCCAATGGGGGCAGATGGGCCCATGCCCAGGGGGCAGTCCACAGCAGCAGGGCAAGCCAAGGAGCCACGAGGGCGTGACTGCCAACTGCATGCCAGATCACACACATGAGCAGAGACACACTTGCCACGTGCTTGCACTGTAAGTTCAGGAAAATTCTGAAAGGAGACTCAAATGGGGCTTCGCCTGGGAGACGTTAAGAAAAATTGGGCCCCCTGCCACCTTGTGGAATTGCTTGGATCAACTGTTCAACACACTTTGGTTTCCTGAACAGGAATGCTGTTGCACAGAACGGGCTGAGTTGCAGGGGAGAGAGAGAAGTTCAGTTGTCTAAACCTTCCCTGGGGCCAGGAGCGCCAGGTGTGGCACGGCTGTGCAGAAGGAACCTGCCCCGTGGGTCTGCCCACCCGGGGGTCTCGGATGGTGGTGGGAAATGGAAAAACCGTGTGCAGATTTCTTTCTGGTTTGTTGTTGCTGCTTTATTTTGTTTCTTCATAAAAGCCAGCTTATCTTTTTAACTCCATTTTTATAAATATTTCAGAATTCCCTTGAGTGTAGTTGATGCAGGTGTCATGGTACTGAGACATCTGGAAGCAAGTGTGAGTCCCATCTACCATGTCTCGCATGCAGGAGGTGAAACGTACGGGCTTACTCACTGAATGCACAGGAGTGGAGAGGAGTGCAGGAGAGTGCCAGCGTTCTTGCCCTTGGTTAAAGTTACTGTGGCTCTCAGCCTTTCTGTTGCTGGGTCTTCCCAAAGTGCTTGGTAGGCTTGCTTGGGAGCCATCTTGCAGGAGAGTGAGCAGCCCGCGTCTGGGGTGCTTTCCGCCATAACGCCCTCCATGGTGGACTGCAGCACGTGGTCATCAATGATGAATGCTCTGTTTGCCGGATGGCGCCCTAAGCAGGTCCTCACTTCAGGCTCACAGGGACTGCGGCAGAAGGTGTGCAAGGAGCCAAGCATGCAGACCACTGACCGCAAGTGCTGGTGGGAGCCAGACGTGGTTCTGCGGTGCAGGTCCCATTGCATTTGCTCTGCTGTAAAGGTGCGGTTCTCTGTTGCAAGCTCTCACTTCCCTGGGAATCATGTCCCTTTGGGTAACTACGATGATGATATCCAACAGCAAGAAAGGAGGAAGCACAAAGCTCTTCTCGGTGAATTATTACCCACTCGAGAAACCATCTGCCTGCAGTTGGTGAGCCAATTACACAATTTTCCCTCTGAGTTCCCCCAACCCCTTGGAAAAACTCCTGTTATTACAATGCATCATCCAGAAATACAGTGATTAGTAAACCAAATAGGAATTGATGTATTTGTAATTGACCAGAGATTTGGTCCATTTGTCAAGAAAAGTGAACTTGTATATGTCCAAATACTTCAAATGTCACTGTCCCTGGTGTTCCGGGCCATTCTGTCAGGGACGGTGGGAGCTCGGTGCTGCCCGGTGTGCAGGCCCTTCCCTCACGGGACAGTGCACACCTGTTCAACACGCACATCACACACGTGTCACACGTGCCCGACTTCACCCTGGGAGCTGGGCCCAGGCCTCGCTGCCTCGCTGCCTCTGACACATGCAGGTCTTTGAGGGGCCACTGTCTGTCTCCCCACCAGTTTTCCAGTGGGTCGAGCCAAATCTGGGTCCCAGACCCACAGATCCTCGCCACACGGGTCTTCTTTCGGGGTGCTTGATGGAATGTTGTGTTGTGTTTTGTATTCTTCCTTCTGCCGGGGCGATCCTCCTGTGTGCAGTGTCCCCGCTGATCCATTTGGTCCCTACTAGTTTCATTCCTCTCCTTGCCGAGATGCAAGGCTGAGGACCAGGACCCCGGAATGCAGGCGAGTCTCAGGGCGCTGGGTGGCCTTGTTCTTTAATTCAGCGCTGTCCCAGGTCTGGGATGTATTTCAGCATGGATTTAGCACAGTGGACGGCCTTCCCTCCTTGGCTGTCCTGGTCCCTGTGTCTCCCACCTGCATCCTGCCCCGTGTACTTGTTGTTCACAGGGGCAGGCGGCGTCAGAAGCCCATCTCCCCAGGGACAGCTGTGCTGACGTGACCTTGTTCCTTGTTCCGCATGGGTCAGGCCTTAGGATTCTCACACACCGTGGAGAAGACTGAGCAGTGAGGACTCGGAGCAGGGAAGCTCTGTGGGAAGAGGGGGTGCCCCAGTTATCACGGGCATGGCCAAAGAAGCTCATGCAGGTTGGCTTCTCAGGCTACCCCCAAGATCACAGGCACAGGTGCACACTCTGCTGTGGATCCCCCCAAGGGGTCCACCTCACCCCCACTGTCAGGCTTCGGGGGCCCTGAAGAAAGCAGCTGGCCCTCAATTGCTCACTTCCCTGCCATTGCACCTGCAGCGGCCCCCATGACACACGAGAGCTGTTTTACATTTTTTTTTTCTGTGTCACATTATTTTATTATTTTCACCAAAATGAAAGGAAAGGCAGATTGTTCTGGCCACCTCCCTCAAGTCATGACGGTCTGCAAGCCCTCCTGCACCAGCATCTCAGGCGCACACACGTGACCAGGTGGTTCACACGACTGCTTCCAATCAGAACTTTTTCTCACTTTTTTTGTTCAGTTATTTATTACGTGCAACAGGGACAGGTGGAGAGACCTTCCATCTGTTGGTTCACTCCCCAGATGGGCCACGCCACAGCAGCAGCCAAGACCCGCATGCTGCTCAGGCTGTCCCTCTGGGCTGGGCATGAGCAGGGAGCTGGAGGTGGAGCCTGGCCTCAAACCCAGGCATGCCCTGTGGGCTGCAGGGCTCCACATGCTGTCCTAGCCACTGTGCCAAGCCCCTAGCCCTCCTCACTTCTGGAGGAAGTGAATGCTGGCACAGTTGGGGCTTGTTGCCTTGCCTCTTTGGAGGAGGGAAAGCCATCTGGCCGCTGCACACAGCCGAGGCCTGGCATGGCAGGGACGCTTTGCGATCCATGTCACGTGGCCTCTTTGCTTTCCTTGGAAAGTCCTTAGTCTCCTGCTCCGTCTCTAGCCATTCATCTCCCCAAACATGCCCAGTAAAGCTCAGTCTGAAAACATGCCAGCTGAGGTCATGGCAGCTTGGTGGGGTGTCAGGCAGACAGCGCTGTACCATGCCCCCCAGCCAAGCCCATGCCTGTGCAGGCTCCTTTTTTTTGCTGTTGCAGTAAAGGTTGCTGCATTTCCTGGGGACAATGTCCTCTGAAACGGGCCAGGATCTCAACAGCACCCTGGGGCACCAGCGGCAGAGTTCAGGTTTCCATGCTCCCTCAGAGGCGGGGTTTGCCTGTGCAGGTCCCATTGCTTGGGCAGCCAAGCTGCTGGCTTGGCGGTGACAATGGGCATCAGTTTTCCTCGGGGGTCTTCAGGTGGCCTGAAGCTTTCCAAGCAGTTCCCGTCAGCCCCCAACCTCCACTGGTGTCTTCCCCAGCTGGGCCTTGCCCGTGGCTCATGTCTCTGGTTCCGCTGGTATCAGTTCTGAGAGGCTGGGAGACAGAAGGAGCATCTCCTGTGGCCAAGCGTCTGGCGCGCGGGGCCTTAGACTCAGAACGCTTGCAGGGGTTCTGACAGACTTCATCTCTGCCCAGTTGAAAGAAAGGTGAAGACTGACCCAACACTGGCGTGGCATGTCGGCACCAGCATCCCACACTGGAGCAGCAGTTGGGGTCCTGGTTGCTACTCCACTTCTGATCCAGCTCCTTGCCAACGGCCTGGGAAAGCAGTGGCAGATGGCCCAAGTGCATGGGTCTCTGCGCTGGGTCACCCACATGGGAGACCCAGAGGAAACTCCTGGCTCCAGGCTTCCACCTGACCCAGGCTGGGCTTGTGCAGTCAGAGACTGAATCAGAGGGCAGAGAGTATTTCTACCTCTCACTCTGCCACACTGACTTTCAAATAGAATCTTTAAAAAAAAAAAAAAAGGTGGCCCCATTTAGACCTCTGTGCCATCTGCTATGTCCTGCTTAGGGGGTCAGTGGCTTTGCTGCCTCTGTGGGCTTTGCTTCGCTGCTCGAAGGGAAGGAGTGTGTCAGCACACTTCCTCTGCCTGCCCAGGCCTTCCCACCACGCCCCCACCATGTCAGATGGGCAGATGCTGAGCAGCTTCTAGGGTGGGTAAGGGTTTGAACGGACTCAGTAGTCAGTCTGGACATCCAGGCTGTGTCCCCAGGGCACACTGAGATGAGCTGGGTAGCTCGCGAAGGGTGAAGAGCCTGGCGGTGTCTAAGGACATGCACACAGGGCCCGCTGGGCTGTTCCTCGTGGAGGTGATGCAAGTTGAAGTCATCTCAGCATAGCCACAGCCAATACAGTTGTGGACATGGCAGGGAAGTGAAAACAGCTCAAAAGTTAGAGTGTTTTCTAAAAAATGTCACTTCATGTTATCTTTTTAGGATTTAAATTGCACAGGTGGTATAGAGCTTGATGGTATAGAGTTGATAGCGTGATGATAATAGTCAGTGTGAGGTGAGCAAGCCAGAGGGTTAGCGCTTGCACCTTCTTTACATGTTTAGAGTTTATCTGTAATAAATGATGCGCATGTGTCTGTGCCCACCCACCATGCTTTTGTTCACTATGTGTGTGTCTGTCTCTATGAGAGAGAGCAAGATCTCCCACATGGTCAGGGACTGGGCCCTCCATCAGCTCCGCCTGTGCACGTTGGGAACCCAGGTTCTCCTACCTCGTTGCCTGCTGCTTCCCAGGGTGTGCGTCTGCAGGAGGCTGGGGCTGAAGCCTGGTCACTCCGGGGGACCCGGGCATCTCCAACAGCATGGTGACCGCTGCCCCCATGCCCATCCTGCCCTTCGTTGTCCAGGATTGCACAAGACAGTTGTGGTTTCCTTTCACTTGCCTGTGGACAGTGGGCAGCAGGCCTCACAGTCTAGCATGGACCCAGAGGAGTGTGCTAGCCCAAGCAGGGGCTAGACCCCAGGGGGATCACTGTGTGTCTGAACCTCAGACTCAGGTCCTGCTCTGTGTCCCCAGGGAAGGAGAGCTCCCCGGTGAGCGATGCTCCAGAGGACGGCGATGAGCCCATGCCCGTCCCCGAAGACCTCTCCACCACGTCTGGCGGACAGCAGAGTTCCAAGAGCGACCGAGGAGCGGGTAAGTGAGGCCGCACATGCCCTCCTGCAGGCTGCCCAGGCCTGCTGCCATGAGTGCACTGTCTCTAAGGGGGTGGCGGGCATCACTGCACCCACCACTGTGCCTTGGCTCTGAGGGCAGTGTGAGGGAAGCAGGGAGCACTCTCAGATGTCCAGGGCTGTGGCAGCAAGGAGACCCCATGTGGGGCGCAGCTTGTCACCTGCTGTGTCCTTGGAGCCCTCAGGGACTGCCAGCTCCGTGTGTCTGGGTAACAGGGTCCAAAGGAACTGCTTCTGGGCCATTTGCAACCTCCTTCTCCTTTGGAGCTCTTACATTTTTCAAGTAGCTGAAAGTAGGATCAGGTAAGTGGGGATTTTTCAATGTCAAAAAGTCTGAATCATCTAAGGTAGTGAGCATGCGTGCAGAGAAGGGTGTGAGCCGTCACTGTGCGGGGTCACATACACAGGCCAGAGGCTTCACCACCCTTCTCACTGTGAGGAGCCAGAGGCCCCAGGGAGTTCTGGAAAATAGCTGAGAGGCTGAGTGACAATCCAGCTCCATTTCTGGCTCAAGCACTAGCTTTACTCTGCCTCTCCGTGTTCCATGAGCGAAGGAGCCCACTGGCCCGGGGGTGCCACATCCCTCCATGCTTCTGCCAAGCTGTCTGCTTGCACTGAAGAACCTAGGAAGGCCTGGAGGTCAGCACAGATGTGAAGCAGCCACTGTGGGGTGCTCCTAGCTCCCCCTTATTCCCTGCAGCACCTAAGAGGTATAGACAGACACACCTGTATCAGGGCCTGGGGATCCAGACCCAAAGGAAAGACCCATGTGTTGCATGACTGCATGGGGAGCCCAGACATTGCAGTAGCAGTAGGCTCGGTCAGTGGGGTGGCGGGGACCAGCTTGCCCTGAAGTCCCTGCAGCTCCTGCTGCCTGTGGGCATCATGGGGCATCCTGCAGGTCAGAGAACCCGCTCGTACCTGGGGAGGGCCTGCACGCAGCTGACCAGGCACTGCTCTGTGCTCCCTTGGTCTCCTGGGTGTGGCAGAGTTGGTCTGTTCCCCGGGTCAGGGCAGGTTACCAGCGCAGGTGTTTTGTAGCATCCCTAGCTTTCCGTCTCCCGTGGACTCCTCCCACTGCCCTCTTGATGTGTGTTTCATCTGTGCTTCTCTTTGGATTGATGTTTTGAACACACATTTTGGAGTTGTGAGGTTGGAAAGCCCTGGGAAGCTCTCAGTGTTTGGCTTGTCGCTTGCGTTTATGTTGCCGTGGGACTAAGCAGGATGGGCCACTGACAGCCATGGAACCTCTGCTCGCTCAGGAGAGCCAAGCACACAGAAGCTGATGCAAACCAGGCTTTGGGCAGGAGCGGAAGTGAGGGACAGGGGCCCAGAGGGCAGAGGAAGAAGCTCCCAGCAGCTGTGCCCTGAGCCCGGAAGGAAATTCAGCTGCACTGAAGTGTGGTCGGGGTGGTGGACTAGTGCAGCAGTCTGTGTCCATTATCAGTGCGTGTAGGTCACACAGCCCTTTGTGCCCATGGGGTCCATGTCCTCTGACTCAGCTGGCCCTGGAGGAGAAGCCTAAACACGCCTGCATCTGTGCTAAATACAGACAGCCTTGGTCGCACCCTCAGCTCCCCCGGGCCACTCAGCAAACTTCCCTATAGCAGGTGCATCATATTGGAGGACGTAAGTGATGCAGGGTTGATTGAAGGCATGAGGCACAGTGTGAGCCCATGTCCTAGGCACAGTATCCTAGGCGAACAGGACACCAGTGCTCATGGGAGACTTGGCACAAAACCGGTTCCCTGTGGCTCCCCAGGGACACTGGGGAAGGGCAGGGCCGATTCTGGACTAGAGAATACCCATGTAACACCATGCTGCATGGAAAGATTCAGAGGAACAGAGCATGGCAGCAAAGGAGTGTAAGAGGACAGGAAGTGAGAAGAAGCCCTCCCTAGGCCCTGTGTGGGACAGGAAGAGGAAGTGGGATTGTTGAAATATAGGCCGAGGGAAGAGTAGGCGGAGTGGGTGTGGTGAGGGCCTCGGCTGGTGGGGCAGGGAAGATGTGTTAGGAGGGGCTGGTTCCCGACCCTTCTGCCTGAACAGCCACCTGTCCCTGATGGCTGTGAGCAGGTGTAGACTGCCACGCTGGGGATGGGGGTGGGGAAGGGGTGCCGCTCACACAGGAGACAGGTGTCGAGAGCTCGTGAGAAGACTGAGGCATGAGGGGGAGGAGGAGATGGCCGCCTGGCAGCAGCAGCAATGCAACAGGAAACCCCAATTAGGGTCTTAGTGCTGGAGGCAGGCCTAGTGACACTGGAAGCGAAGCCCCTACTTGGGACACCTACACTTCAGAGCAGGTGCCTGGGATAGAGTCCACCCGCTTCATAATCCCGTGTCTGGGAGGCAGCCTGTGATGGGTTCTTGCCACCCGCTGGAAGACACGGGTAGCACCATGGCATGAACCAGGGCAGGAGATAAGTCCTCCAAGTCTGCCTTTCAAATAAATACACAAACAGAAACTTAAAACACACCTGATGTTTGAGAGAAGCAAACTGCAAACAGAGGCAGAAGAAGGGAGATTGTAAGGGGTTGGGTAAAAGAAGAGGAGGTGGAAGGAGGGATTGAGTGTGCTGGCCATTTTCAGACCCAAGCGAGGGTTGGAGTGCCGGTGGCTCTTGGTCAAACCCAAGGGGAGACGGAGCTGGCGAGGGGGTGCTGGGGTGTCAGGACCAGGGCGACATCCAGATGGAGGTGAGCCTGAGGAGCACGTTGGTAGGAGCCTAGGGTGAGGCCGGGACTTGGCGGGCTGGCATGTCAGTCCCAGAGCCAGGAGAGGGCAGGGTTCTCGTCTATGGCTTCATCCCACATCCAGGGAGGCCTGAGGGTCTGGAGCCCAGGCAGGAGCTGGGCAGGGCTGCGGGCCACGTAGTAACCTGCGGCCCCCTGCAGGTCTGAATGAGCAGGGCCAGGGATGGCAGGCAGGGTTGAGGACAGCAGCAGAGGTGCAGGAGGGGCCTTGCTCAGAAGCCCAGCAAGGGAGGCTCCCACGTGCTTCTAAGTGGCCCCGCGGAAGGGAGAGGCCTCTTGGTGCAGAGGTGGTCGTGTCTGAGACTGCCAAGGCCAGGGTGCCGCCTACAGCCTCGCTCCTCCCAGCCAGCTCCCATGGACTCCTGCACTGTGCTTCTGCAGCTCCTCTTTGTTGGCCTCAGCGTGAGAACACAGGCAGCGGTGGCCAGGGAGGCACCAAGGGAGTCTGCCCTTTGCTGGACAGCGCAGGCCAGCAGGTGCTGAAGGTGGAGCTGTTAGCACAGAGCGATGTCCCGCCTCGAAGTCACTCCACTGTCCTCTGTGGGAGAGGTTGTGGGGAACACAGGCTCATCGCTCCTGCATCCAATGTATGTGAGTGGTATGTGGGGTGCGTGCTGTGTGTGAGGTATTTGGGGTGTGTATACATAGTGTACAGTACATGTTGTGGCTGGTATAGCACATGTGTGTATTTGTGTGTATGGTGGTATAGTGCATGTGTGTATTTGTGTGTATGGTGGTGTATATGCATGTGTGTATTTGTGTGTATGGTGGTGTATATGCATGTGTGTATTTGTGTGTATGGTGGTATAGTGCATGTGTGTATTTGTGTGTATGGTGGTGTATATGCATGTGTGTATTTGTATGGTGGTGTATATGCATGTGTGTATTTGTGTGTATGGTGGTATAGTGCATGTGTGTATTTGTGTGTATGGTGGTATAGTGCATGTGTGTATTTGTGTGTATGGTGGTGTATATGCATGTGTGTATTTGTGTGTATGGTGGTGTATATGCATGTGTGTATTTGTATGGTGGTATAGTGCATGTGTGTATTTGTGTGTATGGTGGTATAGTGCATGTGTGTATTTGTGTGTATGGTGGTGTATATGCATCTGTGTATTTGTGTGTATGGTGGTATAGTGCATGTGTGTATTTGTGTGTATGGTGGTGTATATGCATGTGTGTATTTGTGTGTATGGTGGTGTATATGCATGTGTGTATTTGTGTGTATGGTGGTGTATATGCATGTGTGTATTTGTGTGTATGGTGGTGTATATGCATGTGTGTATTTGTATGGTGGTATAGTGCATGTGTGTATTTGTGTGTATGGTGGTATAGTGCATGTGTGTATTTGTGTGTATGGTGGTGTATATGCATGTGTGTATTTGTGTGTATGGTGGTGTATATGCATGTGTGTATTTGTATGGTGGTATAGTGCATGTGTGTATTTGTATGGTGGTATAGGGCATGTGTGTATTTGTGTGTATGGTGGTATATATGCATGTGTGTATGCTTTTGGTTTTTGTAGTATGCATGACATGTGCATGGCATGTATATGGTAAGTATGTATGGTGTGTGTTGTGCATATACAAGCACACAGTGTATGCACATGGTATTGTGTGTGTTGTATGATGCATGTGCATGGTGTGTGCATGGCATATTGTTGTGTGTGGTGTGCAGAGGGGAAGACTCAGGCTGGGATGACATCTCCTAGGTGAGTCCTGGCTGGGCAGACTGCACAGCGTTCCTGCGCGAAGTGTGCGTGAGACACCCCCTGCCCACAGTGGGGAGTGGGTGCTATGTGTGCATGGCCGTCAAGCTTGTTGCTGGCTTTGCCATGGTGCACTCCATGTCACATGCTCTGGGACTGGAGGACATGGCAGGTGACTCTGGCACTGCAGAGAGGCTCACACTGCATGGGCAGCAGCTGGAGAGCCCTGAGCCAGGAAGCTCACAGCGGGCAGGGCCAGAGCTCCGGGACCAGTCCCCTAGGCAGTGTGATGGGTTGCATGGACTCCCACTCTGGGCTGCCCTCCCTCCGTGTGAGGCCAGCCATGTGTGTGCACAGGGATGCCCTGGGGCCTGAGTGTCCTCTGTGTGACTGAGGCCGAGTGACCCCAGTCCCTGCACCACTGCCCGGCTGAAGTCACTGAGGATTCGGATCTGTGAGGATCCTGCTGTGTGGATCCTGACTTTGTTTCTCCAACGCTC